TTATTCAATAACAATTATTTATCTTTCTCTTTCTCTTTATTTATCTTTCTCTCTTTCTTCTCTCTCTCTCTCCCTTTCGTAAATATCGATGACGGTTCTTGACCTGGAAAGAATCGTCTTTGTTTTTCACAGTTTTTCAGTCAACATATACCTTCTATAGATAAATGCAACTATTTCCGCCGTTTTCACCGCGTGATTCATTGACCACAGTTGCCGAAGGAGAAGGTCCTGCGCTCGCTCGCGACCAACTCGATCAACGTGATTCTAATGAGAAGGAGCCGTACATTTTAATAAGTTCCTCCGAAAAATTCCGACGGCGCCGATGGCGGTTCTATGGTTGCGCGATCTTCGCCGAGACCGTGCTGCCCCGAGGACGTTCCCATGAGTCGGGGGCGGCCACACCGACGCTTTCCGTAGGCTCTCGGGGGAGCTGTGGAAGATGCTGGGCCCGAGAGCAGCCGGGGGCCATGCCATGTTCCTCGTGAGCGGTGCGTGCAACCGCGCGCTGGCAAACACGTTATTACGCGAACCCTTAATAACCCACCGAGAGTTAACCTCTGCCTGGCTATCTCTCTCGCTCTTTCTCTCAAGCTCGCGGAGAGAGCTCCGACTTGTCTCGCTCCTTCTTCTTCTTCTCTGCCGCCTCTCCTCCTCCTTCGCAACGACCCGGCTATCGGATTAGTTATTCCGCCAGCGACGTGCACGGTAGCCGGTAGCCTTCGATGCGGCTCCGAAACGCGTCGTTTCGCGGCTTCGCAGAGAGGGGAGTTCTACCGTTTGCTCGCTAGCTAGCTCGTCCGCCCGCTTTTTCCCTTGAAATCTGACAGAACTGTGACAGTCTGTCGAAACTTAAAGAAAAAGCCTCGTATGATGTCTCTGTGCAACTGTACATTGTTAAACTTGACGTACACCAATGCGAGGGAGATCGGCATATCAACGACGACAAACACTTTCGCCGCGACTGAAACGTGCTCCGAATTGTTTCTCGAACGGAACTTACTTTGAGATCTCGCGCTCGCAACGGGAGGACGTGAGTAATTCTGCAGGTTGATGAGCTCGTCTCGTCGCGCACTCGCTCGCTCGCCTCGGCGAATATTGAGCGACGAAGGCACAGAGGAACGAACCAGGAAGCGATGCGACGCAAGAGGCTTCCGGGCTTGTCGCGTCGCCGGATCAATGTCGACGGAAGGTATCGGCGTGCGGTTGTCGCGTTATTCCCGACGTTCCCGCGAGATGAAGCTCTTTTACATTCAAAATCACGCCTCGTCGCCGAGTGATTCGCGACGATCGAATGTGCTTGTCGAGTAACGCCAGTGTGGATTTCGCTACGCGCGGTCGCGTGTCACTAATTAGCTCCACGCACGTGTGCGTTCATTTCCATACAAAGTCGCGCTTAGATCTTAACAAAGATCTTTTGCATAACGCGCGAGTCGCACCGATGATCTTCGACACACGTCGCAGTGACGCGCGTGACGTGTCTCAATGTGCCGAGAACTCGCGCCTCACGTTATCGATTCCCACAGTCGGCAGGTTGCCGCTCGACCGCCTCGTGGACGCTTCGTCGGCGATGCGTCTCGCATGACGAGGACTCTGCATCTAACATCCCGCGAATTTCGGTATTAGGACCGTATGAGCTGAGTGCGCGCGGCGACGTCCAGGCGCCGCAAATGACGACCGCGGAGCGCCGGAGAGCCCGACCGGGAAACGCCTTTCCGTTTGATAGACACACGCAACGCGCTCGCGTCATTCAGATTAGTCCGATTGCCGACGCGTCCAAGGTGTTTTCGACGATTGTCCGGCCCGGCGAGATAGACCCGGATTATCATGCGCGTGCATGTCGACAAAGGAAGTTTAGCTTGTAAAGCTGATTAAACCTTAGTTAATCACAACCGAGCAGGCCCACATGATGGAGAAAGAGGTGAACCACGACGTCGTCGCCGTCGCGCGTTCGCCACCGGCGTACAAAGTCTCTCCTCCCACTCAGCACGCGTCTCCGCGCGAAGCTGCGCTCTCTCCTCTCTCTCTCTCTCTCTCTCTCCTGCCTCCTAGCATACCCACCGATGCACGCTGTCGGCATGCGCGCGCACGTCCACCTCTTCCACCACGTGCTCGCCCGTTGACAGCTCGCACGAGCGGGCGGTCCCGCGCGGCAAACCGCGCACGCCACGTGCGCTCCGCACCACTCATGTTCGCCCGCTGCGCCGGACAGAAGTACTGAATTCGGTGCTGCAATCAGCAATTCAGCGCGGCCGTAGCTGCCGCAGTTCTGCGGAGCTCCTCCTGCGCTTCCGCGTGACGCGACGCGACGCGATGCGACGCGACGCACCGCGGCGCGACGCTGAGCGTTTCTCTTTTCCGTTGTCACGTCGCGCCTCGCGGCGACCAAGAGACGCGCGTCTCGCGAGTTCTCGTGTACTGAGAACAGTGCGCATCGGAAGGCGATGATGTCTCCTCTTACTCGGTTGGGTACGATGAGGCGTACTTAGCTAACGACCATGTAACTTTTCTGCGGCAGTGCAAACGTTAAGGGTGAAGATCTCCACGTTTCTATAGTTTGAAAAATTATACGATACAAGGGCCACATGAACTCATGGGTAACTTTCCACGGAAAACTTACATTATGTCATTTTTCTTAAGGAAAAGGTGCAAAATGGAAGTGCAAAGAGCGAAAATTTCCACGCTTCTAAAGTTCGAAAAGATGATTTTTGAAAACTCTGAGTTCACGTGAAGCTATTGACTTTTTTTGGAAAAATTACACGATGTAATTTTTCTGTAGATGTACAAATGTCAAATGTGAAGATTTTCACACTTCCATAATTGGAAAAATTACATGATTCGTAGAAACTGAAATCCATATAAAACTGTCCATTTTCTTTGGAAAAGCTACATCGTATAATTTTTTCTTTGGCGATGGAAATGTAAAAGATGAAAATTTTCACGCTTCTATAATTCGGAAAATTACATGATTCTTAAAAACTTTGAGTTCACATATAACTTCACGGTTCTATTTTTACAGAAAGGTTACATGCACGTTGTTGTCTTGACAGGGTTTTTCGATAATTTTTATTTTATTATTATTTATTATTTTTGTTGCTATTAACGATAGAATTGAATGCAAACAGGCTTTCCCCATCTCGATTCGAATGAATTCTCTAAGATTTCACGCTGAGACCTTATAAGTGGACGATGCTGCGAAACGGTTCTGTTATCTGTTCGACGACGTACGCGCGATTGCTTTCGCGTGCATCGTTGCACGATGCAAATCACTCCCTTCCAATACATTATTCGCGCAATCAGGATGAGCGATCCGCCTTGACGCGCGATTAGCCAAAGCACTTGGGAACTGAGCCCTGAAACCCTTCATCCTGATAAGAGTCACCTCGTTCCACTTTTGTAACCTGCGTTCGTTTTAACATGTTGATCTTTGTTGATTGTACGAAGGCTTAATTGATGGTTCAGATATGGAAATTGTGGTACTTTAATTAATTCAGTCCGCGCATATCTTTTGCTTCGTCTCAATGACCGCATAATCGATTTTTCAAATATGATTGATTATATTTTATATATCGAGAAAAATCTCAGTTCGTCAAACTGGATAGAAATTTAATTCAATAATGAGAAATGATATGATTTATATTACCACAAAACATTTTGGAAACATTTGTTTGAACATTTGGCTGCTTTAAAACTCGGTTAAAATAAACAATTGACTGAATAGAAACCTCCTATAGGAATCTTCCTGTTCCAAGTTTTCCGTTTGGTCCATATTCTTGTCAGGCAATTGTTTTTAAACCGTGTCAGAGAAGAGACGGTAAATAAGAGCAAGACAAGGTTGTTGGTGAGATTTTTTTTTAATGTGTATGAAATTGTTTTTGTGCATCTAACTTGATGAGACGTGATGGCATCATTGTGCTGGTTGCTAGTGACCATTGTACTCAAAAGAAAATACGATAATGGCAGTTATGCAGAGTGTCCCAGACTCTCCTCCACAATTTTTGTGTAGAACAGATTAAAATAAATATAAAAATCCTATACAATTGTACTATTATGTAATGTTATGTACATTAGTGCTACATACAAAACTCATATAGTATCATCTACTACTGTGTCCAAAAAGTAAGACCAATTTAAAATTTTTTTTTTAAATCTTTATTATTCCAAATCTATTTCGTCGCCTTCAAAGTAATCCCCCTCAGACACAATACACTTATGCCAACGTTTTTTCCAACCCTCGAAACAGTTGTTAAAGTCGATTTCCGGAATGGCCTTCAAAGCTTTCTTCGATTCAGCTTGTATCTCTTCAATCGAGTCAAAACGGTGTCCCCGGAGCGGTCTTTTGAGTTTAGGGAATAGCCAGAAGTCACACGGTGCTAAATCAGGTGAATATGATGGTTGTGGAACGATATGGGTCGAATTTTTAGCGAAATGGTCTCGAAGAACCAATGCAGTGTGAGATGGCGCATTATCATGGTGCAAAAACCAAGAGTTGTCTTTCCACAATTCCGGCCTCTTTTTGCGAATAGCTTCCAAGTCTTGACGTTTATGATGTGAAATTTGACACAGATGCCTGTCACAGTGCTACCAATTTAGAAAAAAAATATTTCTGACATTCGATATACCCGCAATTTAACTTGAAAATTGGTCTTACTTTTTGGACACAGTAGTATATAGTTGCTATCCCCGTGTCTTTTTCTCTCGATGTTTAACCCTACAGTCGTCGCATGGGGTCTTTAAGAGAATATTATATCCAAAATAGTCTTTTCTTACATTTCACATGAACTCAATTAAAAACCTAATTAAACAAAGAAAATATTTAAGTTTCTCAACATAAAAGATACAAAATAATTTTTTTATATTTTTTTATATTATTTTTATAATTATTTTTATATTATTTTATATTTTATATCTCTCAAGATCCCATGCATCGACTCGTGTTCGGAAAGTAGCGCGACGACTGTAGGGTTAATGTGTTAAGACGAAGTATGTATAATCACATACAGGTAGCGCGTTCAGGCAGCACGCGCTCGCCGGCGATGCACGAAGTGAAGAGCGACAGCGATCGCTCGTATGCGTCGTCCGTGCGGAAAGACGCGCAGGAGAGACGCGGCGAATGGGTGCGAAGGAGGGACGGAAAACGAGCGTGCGTTCGTGCGCGAGTGACTGGGACAAGCAGACGGGACGACTTCCTCGGCCGGCTGTTCTCCTGGCACATCGGCGCAGCGCCGCAGCGCCACGCGTCACGGCGAGCACCATCGCAACGCGCGGCGCCCCTACGCCGGCCACCGCGACGCGGCTACGCCGTGGCGTTACTTTTGGCTCCTGTCCATCCATCGTCGCGATGCTGCGCGGCGCTGACGCCTCCTTCACCCGAGGACCGTCGTCGTCGGCGGCGTCGCGCGGCTCTCGACTACTTCGACGACGACGACGACGAAGAGGCGGTCTGTGAGGGAGTGGGAATGGCAGCAACGTGTCGTGGCTTTCGGGCACCCTGGGCTGACAATTTGGTCTCGCAGTTGGATGATTTGATAAGGTAGAAGGCGCATTAGCGATGATGTTGAGTGGCGATGTCCTAAATTGCACGTTAGTCTGATAGAAATATGTTAGATGTATGGTCTCGTAGACTTCAACGGGATTAGAACAGGTTGGCCAGCTTAACGTTTTGTTTGGAAAAATGTTGCGTCGAGAGACAAAGCCTTTCGACGAAATCTTAATTTGAGGTCTAGTTAACGTAATGAGATAATGACCGTAAACAAGAGATGCTGGACCTTGAGCTGATCGCAGCTACAAATTGTAGTTCATTAGTTCTGTGAGATAGCACGTACAATGAAGTGCGTACTGATTCTTATACAAATATTTCACAACAAAACTTAACGCCACCTGGTAGATCTGCGATGCACGAAGAAGCGCTGTTCGTCGCGTCGTAAGGTCTGGTACCGAGGATCAGTAAAGTCTGACTCTTCAGGCTTGGCAGATGACAACATCTACGATGGTATAGCGCTTAATCCTCTTTATTAGCGACAGGGATGGTCGTCTAATTTCCCTAATTTGCCGTTGAATCATATTGTAACCTCGCTTTTTTTTATAGAAAATTCTATTTTCTAAAAGAATAATCGATTCAAAAATAAAAATTCGAACGGATTGAAGACAATTCGTAATAAAATAACATCAAATCAAGAAAAGCTATTGAGACAGTGGTTGATATAGAATATGAGAAATCTTATCGAGAAGATAATCATTTGACAAAAAAAAAGTTAACGAGTATTCACTTGAATTAACTGCTCAATCGTACGATGAGCTGATATTATTTATGACAACAATCATCTGGAATCCATTTGCGTTACTAATATTGCAACCGACGATGAGAGTTTTATTAATTATCAGTGACTAAATATACAGAGGACTCCAAATGATCCAATTGTCTGAGATTGTATTAGCTATCCTTATAGAAATATCATAAGAATCATTGATAATTACTTATTTTCAGTATTAAAAATATGATAGTATGATATTTCTATAAGGGTATAAACCGGGATTTTCTTTGTAAAAGGAAAATGACGGACACTTGCTAAAAATCGCATATTTATTTATAAATTCGTATTATCGGCTGATGTCGTGTAAACGCTTAGTCTAAGCTAAAACGCCGCTACTCGCTCGTTTCTCTTTGATAGCCGCACTTACAGTACATCGGTATTGATAAAAAGTGAATAAAAACGCACTGTATCATCATCCAACCCTAGACTTGGCGGAACTAAAGGAAGCGAATCTAATGTAAAAACTATAAAAAAAAAAAAATCGAGGCCTTTACCTTGGTAGTGTAATTTTTTCTCGAATTCTCGCGCACTAAGTATAAAACGGGAAATAATCGCGACAATAAGTTACCGCCGATATCGTAGAGAAATAAAAGACGCGATTCTCTAAGCGCGAACTTACCAGGCAGTGTGAAACAACTTGCATCTCACGGGCTATCGCTTGAAGTTTGTTGAAAGGTTTCTAAACGTTTACCGACCGCACTGGATGTCGCGGAGAATAAAAACGAATACTGTCCCGTCTGGAATATGCATCGCGTCGACGAGGTATCCGGAGAATGAGATACTTGACAATTTATTTGTGGGATGTAAAGTTCATTCGCAAGAAATAAGTTTTATGTCCCACGAATAGATTTTTAAGTATTTTTTCTCAGTGTACGCGCCAAGATCGCGATGGACCACGTCATTTCGCTCACCTCTCGCAATCTCTCCGACCAGTCCCAACTTCCACGTTCGCGCCGCTACGAAATCGTCTTCTTACTTGTGAGCGGAAACGATTCGACGAAGTCGTTGCCGTCCTCGACGGTGGTGCTCTTCTTCGTCACTCTCTCCGCCGGATTGTTCCACTTCTGGAGCTCGCCGGTGCCGAATATCAGGAAGGTGAGCCCGCTGATGCAGTACATGGTCGCCAGAGTCCAGAACACGATGGTCCACTGCGTGTAGGTCTGATTTTGGTACGTGATGGTGCCGACCATGAAGCTACTGAGGAAGCCGCCCAATGAGCTGAAGGTGTTGGCGATGCCGAATATGGTGCCCGAGAAATTGGGCGCGATGTCGAGACCGTTACCCAGATAACCGGCCGTCACAGCGCCGTTTATCGTCAGGGCGACGGTGAAAATGACGACCGAGGCTGCGCGATCGCAACCGTAATACGCTTGGATCACCATGAGAACACTGGGCGGTATCACGGCTGGAACATAGATATTGGGGTCAGACTCATCTGATGAATCGAACAGCTGAATCTTGCAACTGAAACTTTTGCGAGAGATGTCGTGAAAATTGCGAGACTTCGCTTACCGAGCGTTGTGAAGATTTTACGTATCGCCGTGACGGACAACTTGTTGGTGCGACGCAAGTAGTCGGCCAAGGTGGACGTGGACACCGCGAAGACATACTTGCCGAGATATGGCAGCGAGGACAGCAGGCCGTTCTACGTTCATTACAGAAGAATCAGTGATGACATACACTCATTTGTATTCAATTAATCATAGAAAACTATTCGCCTGTTAATTTTATTAGTGTACATTAAAATTACATTACGCTATCAGTGATGACATAAATATGTCGCGTCTGTGTATATTTAAACTAAATTATCTCACGTTGTCGGAGAAATCAGCGATGACATAACGTGTTTGTGTATCAGTAGAAAAATATTTGCCTGCTAATTTTTATAAGTGTACATTAAAATTATTTCACGTTGTCGACATGTACCTCCTTAATGTTGAAGTGCAAGATGTACTTCATGTAAGTGGGCAGTTGATTGACCACGGTGAAGTAGCCGAAGACGCTGCACGCGTGCGTCACAACGATAGCCCAGACGGACGTCGAGGTGAGGAGCGACCGCCAGGGCACTGGCAGGTGCTGCAATCAGTAAGGCTGATTAGTATCACGAGTACTAACGGGATTTTCAAAGAAGAGAGAGAGAAAGAAAGCAAGATATAATTAAATGAAATGACCGAGTGGCGAACAAATTGCGATGCGTAACGATTGTAAGTCACACGCTTTTTTTGTGCATTCCGATCCGCACGTCGCTTTTTGCGCTCGCGCTTAGATGGCAATGTCCAGATCTAGAGCGAACGTCTTCTACTGTCTCGAGTACCTTGGCGGTGGCGGTGACTCCGATGGCGTCCTCGATATAACGCCGCTCCTCGTGGCTGATGCGCGGATGCTGCGATGGCGAGTCGAACACCAGCAAGAACCACGCCGCGCTCCATGTAACGCCAATCGCGCCGGTCACATAGAAGACCGACTCCCAACCGAGCGAGGCGATGAGATAGCCGCATATCGGCATGGTGATCGCGGCGCCGAGCGACGAGGCTGCAAGCAACGATGCGACTTACGGTTTCGCGTTTCATGCGTTTGACTGCGCGCGCGCTTGTCCGTCCTCGTGTAATCCGCGACTGTTTCGTCGCATCTATCACGCGCAAATGTGCTCTTCTCGTGGTTCGAGCGGAGGACACGAGACAAGAGATCGACAGTTTTACGCGGAATCCTTCGCGGATGGGTGGACCGCTGGATTCGCGAGATCCCACGGCGAATTAGATCGTGAATTGGATCATTTACCCATCATGTTAGAGACGAACTTGCTACGCTCCGTCGGTGGAATCCATCGAGCAGTCATTGGCTGGATCGCAGGCCAGGTGGCACCCTGATTTGCGGAATGAATCAATCTTGAGAGATCATCGGGCTTGTGACAGTCGTTCGCTAGTGTCGTTCGTGAGCGCGTTTCGTGTGAAACTCGACCGACGCGAGTACAATCGGAACAATTATCGGGCGCGAGTCTTCTCGCAAGAACGGAAAGAGAAACAGAGATACACTGAGAGAAAGAGAGAGAGAAATATGGTTAATTTCATGAAAATTATCCGGCATCGAACATAAGTTTATGTTGTTTAAGCGGAAAAACAAAAATAGCGCAATATTAATATAAAATTATAAAATTTTTACTATCAACATAATATTTCTCTACGAAAATAATTTTACATAATAATAAAGAAATAATTTCCCTGACTACAATTAAGATAAATGTTTCAATAACTGAACTAATAAAAAAGCACTAATGAGTAGTTTTACGTTTTTGTTAATAAATTTATTATTAATAAATGATTAATGGAATTGCAAAACTAACATTCATATAAAACTTTGATTTGTCAGGAATCGAAAACTAATAGAAAATAAAATCAATAAATCATCATATATAAATCATCATACATAAATCATCAATAAATATCGATTATAATTTTTGAGATATTAAATAATGCCTGTTGTAATTTGTAATTGAACTGAGAAATAAATTGTGTTCTAATTATCGAATGATACAGACTCGACAATAGAATGATTATTAAATAATATTACAAATTGGCATGAAGAAATATCCCTCTATTAAAAACATTTCAGGGACTTCTTTAGAAATAACTTCTTTAGAAATTTTTTAAATTATTCTTTACAAATATATTATTAGTGTTTCAATTATTGGGACAATTATCGAGACATTTACCTTCTTTTACCGTACCAATCATAGCCAGAAATATTTTAAATCACCAAATATTTTTCTCTCAGTGTAAAGAGAGAAAGAGAGACGGAAAAATGCTCGATAGATTCAGATATCAAGAGAGATTCACGTGTCATTCGAGTTAAATGACTCTCGCGAAGCGGACATTCGCCGATATTGCTCGTAAGCAGCGAGAGATCACGACTTAAGATAAACAACGTACCAGCATGAATCCCAGTACGACTCTCAATGCCGCGACCACCGCGTAGCCAAGGGCGGCGGCTAACGGCGTCAGCAGGGTGATGAGACTCGCTATCAGCATGCTGTAGCCGAATACCCGTCTAGTGCCGATGATTTCTGCGAGCCGACCGCCCGGTAGCTCCGTGCAGATGTAACCCCAGAAGAAGCTGCCGAGGATCAGGTTCACCTCGTACTCGTTCCACGGGTACTTGGTCTGAACTCGCTCCTCCTGCAGTACAACAAAACCAGCCGTGAACACCAGCTCGAAAGAGTCTCCTACAGAGAAGAAAAAGTGTGCCATGAGAAGAGGAGTGCGTTGATGACGATGACGCGGGTGAAGAGGGATACGTCGGGCGGCTTATACGCAGCTGATGAGTCGTTTCTCTTTCGAAAGTTTCTAATGAGGCCCTTCGTTTCCTAGCGCAGTAAATCTGCCTACACAGGCGATACCTACGAACTGGCCTTCGTATAACGAACGTTCTCTCCTCTCCCTGTCATTTCGTGATTTGGCCTGAGTTTCGTTTCTCGGCGAAGGTGTTAGGCAGATGAGGATGTACGTTTAGATGAAGATTAATGCGTTCGGAGTTCGCCGGTTATCGTGGGGTCGTCAACCGTGCAGCAAGTTCGGCATTACGCAAGTCGCAACGAACCGGGTGTCGCTGTGGGAACGCCGATAAGAGCGCGGTGCCGTTCGTCTCGTTGACTCTATTAGCGGCTGCGTCGACGTCGATCTGCACCGGGCCTCTGGTGTCGTCGATCGGGCTGACGTCGCTCGTCACCGTCGCCCGGGCACCGCACTCGTCCACCGACTCGTTGGCATGCGGGGACAGGCTGCTGTTGCTCGGCGTCACCATCGAGACGATCGCTATTGTGAGATTCACGCGCAGCATGTAGTTCAGCATGAAGCCGAGGATCACCATGATGTTCAGCACCTGCCTGCATGACAGGCGATCTGCGAAAACGCATTTCCGGTGTCATTCGATCCAACGATCGGGTTCCTCCGCGGTCGGGGAAACACGAGAGAAAGAGAGGTGTCACGAGAATCTAGTCGTTGCGTCGTTTTCTTTGATCCGTGCGGGATGACACGTGCGAGTCTATCTTGTTTCTTCTATTGCTAAATTAAGTATTTACATTTTTGGCGAGACAGCCAAGTACGTGAGATACATGAGACAATCTTCGCGTTGTTGTGAACAGAAATTGCGGGTCGGCAAAAGTCGCATAGACGTTACATCCTTGCCGATTTTCTGAACGATCTTCGATCTCGTGCCGCGCGACTAATGACATTTGATTGATGCCGACAATGTATCGTTTCGCCTGAATTTCCGCGGCGTCTACCGCGCAATCAAAGCCGGGGAGGGGACGCGGTCGCTTTTGAAAACAGGATGATGCTAACGCGTGCCACCGCTCGTGTGACGTCAGCGCGGCCGCGTCACACGTCTCAAGTGCCGTAAACAATTTTTACGTAACGCGACCACACGCGATCGCGCGTGTGTATTTTTGGTCCATTATTGATCTCGGCGTGGCACATCGCGTCGTTATCATGCACGATGAGTCGCGAGGTCTCTCATCTCGAGGTCACCGGGGACGCCGTCGCAAGACCGAATGTTGCAGCGCGGAAGGATCTCACGCTTCCTCGGCCTTGTCTTATCGCGTTATCGGAACACTTGGAATTTTCGTGCGTGCACGGAAAAAACGTCCCCATTAGTGCGACTGAAGTGACAATTGCTTTTCGTAATAAATCAGTTAATACGGATCGATATTTATCCTAAAAATATGTAGTCATATCTTAAATTTTATAGACCTTCTACAATAAGTGAGCAAATTGATCAACCACAGTATTGTCCCACAGTTGATTATTTTCGAGAATAATGCATTTTATGATTTCATCCTCCTGTACATACTTTCATTATGTAATTGCAATTTTGCGTAAACCAACACGGTGTACAACTGCAGAGAAAAGTCAACACTTCGTCGGTGAAATCTTCAAGTACGGCATTCACTTAAAGTAGCTCAATGTTCAGACCAATGTTTTCAGTAACAGAGATATTTCTTGTTACTAAATTTTCATCTGCTCCCTGGTTCAGTTACGCGAACTAAACTTTTTTCCGCGTCTCTCCACGAGGAGACGCGACGCTCGCATTTTTCCCGGCGAAGCCCGCACGTGGAAATCAACGCGATCGGAAGCGTCGCGATGATCAATTCGTGATTGTTAATTTGCGATTCGTCCGTTGTAATGAATCCGTCGGTCGTCGCGTGGATAGCAGAGCTGCGACCGCGAGTGACAGTCCGACAGCTTCGCCGTCGCTTGGCAGACCGCCGGAATTATTTCAAGAATGGCGAGCGCCGCCGCGGCGGGTCTGCCAATTTTCCTCCGTCGGTCGCGCGCAGTTCGCACGCATTTCTCGCGGGCGCAACGACGGGTTTTGCAAACCTGCCCAGGCACGTGCTCTCGCGCGTGTGAAATTCAGAATCGAAAGCTCCAGGATTTCCGCGAAACGTTGCGTCAACGAGCGTACTTCGGAAGCGCGAAGCTCGCATGAAGTTCGTGAGCTTCGCGAAACAACAAACTACAGTCTCGGCACCTCGTCCCTGATATTAATAGTCCGTTTAGCATACACTGTTAAATATTGGAGGGTTAAATTTAAACCAATTTCTTGAGTTAAATAATATTTAGTTATTTTTAACTATCATGTGTGTCAAAATTTACTATTTTGACACAAAACATGTGTTTAAAAAAACAACCACATCTAATCAACCCATTTAAAACAATATTAAGTTATTTTTTACTAAAACAAAGGTTACATTAACGTGCACATAATAAAAAATAAACTAAATTTTAGTCAAATTTAATACATTTCTTAAGTTAAATTATTTAACTCCATTACATTAGTTAAATTAACGACATACTTAGTATGAGCAGTGGCGACTTATAGGAATGGTTAAAAATAATTCAAATTGAGTATAATTTGACACTACGAACTTAACAGTGCCTTAAGATCGCCTTGTACTACGCCGATACCTGCGATACCTGCGATATCCGCACGTTACTTATCGCGCCCGAGGTTATCGTCGGAATACTTTTACGTCTCGGTATACACTCATGTGTACACATGTGCAAATAAATTGCGTTTTATTGATGTAACGGAGAAGCTGGAGCACGGGTAAAGACAACTGCGTTAGGGTAACTGGATTTCTTGTTACTTGCACTAAGAGAAATTATCCGATAAAAAATTAACGAATACATCCGGTCAAATTCTGATCAATTTTTATCCGATCAGAATGTCCGATTAAATTCTATCGGGTACTTCCGATCACAATGGCATTTCATTAGATAAACCAATCAAAAAATTATAAACCGATATTTCTCATTGGAGTTATCTCAACCGAGTTTCAATGCAGCTGAACGTTCAGACGAATGTTCTCGGTCGGAGTAACAGAAATATTATTTTTCTTCAGCGAGTTTTTCGTCTGATCCCTGTTCAGTTATACTCGAATTGAAATTTATTTTTCCGTGAGAAGGTGGCAGAGAAAAGAAGATCAGGTCTCTCTTATTCTAATAGTGGATCCTGTCGGATTTATTGATTTGGTGAAGAAGTTCGATTTTCAATAATTTGTCAACGATAAACCCCGTTTACCTTCAAAATTCGTGGGAATGCTGATAGAACATTGGCAAAGGATCGCAAACAATGATGGCAATTACGCGGTTAATGAATAATTTGTTTTTGATGAACACTATAACATTAAAGTTGATTCAAAGATCAAACCTAATCTAACTTGACCTAATTGTTTAGCTAGTATAGTTCAACATTTTTTCCCACGATATCTACAACGAAACGGTCAATGTATAATAAGCATGCGATAAGTCGACTGTTGCGACGATAAAGTCTAGTTAAGTCTAAGGCTAGTTGTAATTAAGATTGGAAGGAGAGTTTAATTGGAAAAACAAATGAAACACGTAAAAACACATGGAAAAATACGTAATAAATAGGCGGACGATAATAAACTGAAAAATGACCGGGGAGGAAAAAGATCGATTGCGCTAATTTTGGCTTTGTCCCCCTGAGAAAATTTGATCAAAATTACAAAAATTCGAGATTGAAATTACGAGAGAATCTAATCCAAAATTACATGCTAATATATGCAACTTTTGTCGAAAATATTCGTTGTCACACACGTTAGCTGAATACCTCGTAAGTCACGTGAGAATGTCAATATATAACTCTCGCAAATGGCAAAAGCGGGGATTTGACGTCGCGAGCCAAAGTTCGAGCGAATAAACGGATAATCCGAGGTATTTTTTATTAAGATTATTTTTTTACAAAAACATTTTTATTAGTTCTTTCGTATAATTTTTACGAGTGTTTTGTTCGGATTGTTTGTTACACGATATTTTACAGTAGACTTTTATTAGATTTTTGTAGTATAGTTTTTTATAAGTGTTTTGTTAGAATAGTCTTTTCCACGGGTTTTTATAAAGGATTTTTGTTAGATTTTTTATAACAAGGTTTTTTGTTACAAACGGATAATCCGGGATCGCAATATCCGATTAACTTCGCATGAACTTGGTCGCGAGTTTCAACCCGATCTGCAGAAATAACGACAGATTATATCGAGGGAACATTGTCGGGGGGAGGAAGGTCGAGCCGGCGCTTCCTTGACGCAATTTGTTCTACTAACTGACTAACGCGCTGCGTCTTTGACGCACTTAATTATTACAACAGCGAAGCGCAATCCGAGCGACAAATAAGTCACGTGTGGTTGCATAAGATTCTCTCGCGCCTTGTGCACCAGTCTTCGGTGACAAAAGAGTCTGTGGTTACCTGTCATCCGCAAACTACGAAGATTTCTTGCTCGCGAGCATACCTACACGGAAAAAAAAACTCTCAGTTCGTGCTACTGAACGGGAACGAAAGACTCGCTGATGACAAACAATATCTCTGTCACCGTGAAAACACCGCTGAAAACATTCGGCTAAACATTCAGTTGCGTTACAAAACTCGGTTGAGATAACTGAGAGAGCACTTTGCTGAATAAAAGCCTCTCTTGCAGGAATCTTTCTATTCCTATAACCGGGTTTTGCGTCCGGCTCCCAGATAATAGAAAATTCAGCTACATTAATGGTTAAGATAAAAGTCTGGACACGTCCAATGTCTGGACACGTACCTAGCATGTATCTAATTCTGGACATGCTTGTTATTTTAATTTGAAAATATTGAAATATTCAAATTTTCAATATAGAATATATATATGTATATATATATTGAATACATATACAAATATTTTATGTTTGAAGGTTAAAAATTCGTATTTAAAGTTGATATTCGTATTTAAAATCAAAACAAGAAGAATGGCCAGGTACTTTTATCTTAGTTGGTTTTTTTCCGTATAGAGATGCTACTACGTGGTAGCCATATGAGAACAAAAGATAAGGAGAAAAAAGAATGGGAACAAAACACGAATGATTCGCAGGAAGCAGAAAATACTTCGGACACGTTCGCGTTCTGCTCAATGTAAAATCGCGCGATTCTAATGAGCCAGTTTTGACGTAATCATTTTGACCACGAGGAAGGTCGCATGCGACCTGCATTACAGGTACGTTCTTACGGTCAAAGCTCGATATGCGATATGATCGCAATTTCGGAAGCAATTCGCCGGAGTCGTTCAATTCGTTGGTCTTCTTGTTTTCGCACGTTAATTGTTCGTCTTTATTGCCGTATTATCAACAATTTTTTTATCGCCCCTATTAGACCAGAGGAAGCGAGAGAGAGGGGGAGGAAGAAAAGTGCTGTTTTAGTACATACACGGAAAAAACAATTGTGTAAGGGGATAACTGAATTTTCTGTTATTGGACAAGACAAGAAACTCGTAGATTGTAGGAACAGGAAGATTTCCGTAGGAGGTTTCTACACAGCCAATCGCTCTTAGTTGTCTCAACCAAATTTTAACACAGCT